AAAAAAAGGGACGTAAGTTTTTCAACAATTTTGTTTTCTACAAATTTTATCGTCTTTTTCTATAAAAAATTCAATACTAATTCTAGATTTTTGTCTTTTTTTTGTCAATAACGGTAAACATAAAAATTGATTTTTAATCATTAAATTTGATGAAGAGTCATGGAAGTATTTACATGAAGGTATGACATATACCGACAAAAATGCCTTTGAGAAATAATATATACATATAGATTACGGAGCACGTTCGAAATGTCTAAACGACCCAACCGATAACCGGTGGATTCCGATGTTACATTGATTGATAAGTCGGGTGCTAAAAATCATCCATCATTATAGAAAACATGTTTATTTAAGATAATATATAAAAAAGACTATAATTACATGAACTTATAGAGAAATGTATAACTACTGATTAAAGAAATAATACGCTATATGGAAATGAAAGAGAACGTCTTTATTTTTTAAGGAAAATAGTTACGTGGGATGTATCCTCGCTTCGAACGGTTTGGAGGAAATGGTACAACTGGTCCTCAGCCAATTTAGGCCTAATACGAGTTAGACCGGTCGAGACCAGCGGCTACTAGTTTCATTCTTAAATAGTACTTGCTGATTTATTTGCAAACTAGCGACCCGCCCCAGCTTCGCACGGGATGCAATGCTGAATGTTTGTTGTAGACATCGCATTAGAAACCTCTAAAATTATCAGTGTTGTTTCTACTACATTATGTATGAATTATACATATACACCTTCCTTTTGAATCACTAAAGAAAACCGCATCAAAATCCGTTGCGTAGTTTTAAAGATCTAAGCATATATAGGGACAGACAGCGGGCCGACTTTGTTTTATACTATATAGTGATTCGACTGACTGACAGGTGAAAAAGGCCACAACTTAAAACCTGCCGTTTTAACTCCAGACATAAAACGTAAAAATATTGAAATGAGGAAATTTTATACCTTATATTTATTAATGATGTAGTTAATATAGTGTTCAACGTTATGATTATTGCTCCTGTAGAATTAATTGAATTTTTATGACAACTATTGATATATTTAATATCATTATATCTATTATTGCACAATTATTTCTTGTATTGGCTTTAATACTACTCATGGTCCAATAATTTTGTTCACAAAGTTTTATCACATTATTTCATTTTAATGTACCCGACGTTACGAATACTTTACAGCATCCATCGTCGCAGAAAATACATTAAACCCGCACAAGGTTTTAATCTAAATTATTTTTTATTGCAATAAGATTATTGGTATTTACGTGTATTTATATTAATACTATAAATAGGCAACCAATAATAATTTGTGGAAGTTCGTTGCAGTAGTATTGTTACTTTATGATCCGCTTTACGATCTATTCTGTAGGACTCTTGAACAAATACAACGGGATTTTCTAGCATAATTCAACGGCAATTGATGCTAGACAATTCATTGATTCAATTAATTGCTGCAGTAAGAACTGCAAATAGTTTTTATTGGCGCAAAATGTCAACAAAGACATGATAAATGATATAAATAAGACAAAACTTGTATAAGGAACCGATAGACACCATGCGAGGAATCGATAGATTTGATGAGCAAGGAAATATTGCCGCAGCGTCTGATGGATTCATTTTGCAGCATCGCATGATATAACTAAAGTAAACAATGGTAAAGTGCGTAGTCTATATTTAGCGGAGCGTCGGAGGCTGGTAAACATCTGCATCACGCCGTCAGTCACGCATCTTGCAGCGGCAAATAACATATCAATAACAAATAAGTGCCCCAACATTTTGACATTCACCTGACAGGCCAATGACCCATTGTTTGTGTTAAATCTAAAGTTATCTCAAATTTTTTTTCACCTCATACCACCTATATACCTACTAAGTTTAATTTACAAGTTCGTTTCAATTTAACGGTCAAAAATCCTAATTTTTTTTGTGAGAAGGTAGAATATGGTTTGCCTGATGTTAAGTGATTTATGTCGCCATAGATATCCTTAATTCCTGGCTGCATGCGATTTGCCAACGTATTATGAGGCTGTGGTACCTTCCCTGAGAAGCCAACCAATTCGAGCAACAAAAGAAGCAGCAGGATGCAGCATAATGAAGACTTAACCCTGACTTCCTTCAGGAGGCAGTAGATTCCAATTTAATTGACGATTTTTGATCAATGATGTATTAACAGTCATTAGCTTTGTTTTTATGACCGGCAGCCTGCGTGACGTCAACCCTACTTGGGAATTCTAGCGTTAGAACTTGGAATTACACATGACACACAAATGCTCCTAGAACTCAAAGGAGATTTATAAGACGGTGGTATCTAAATATTGGGTAGCAAAAGAGAAGAATGAAAGAAAAATAAATGTGTCTGAAATGCGAATGTTGAGATTGATGCATGGTATGGCTGCAAAGTATAAGATCCGGAATGAGTATACAAGGGAAAGCTTGACAGTGGCACCAGTGTCTGAGAAAATAAGAGTGGTAGATTGACATGGTATGGACACATTATGAGAAGGGATGAAAGTCATCTGACTAGAAGATTGGTGAGTAAGAATACGGATGGATTTTGTAAAGCTAGAGGAAGACAGAGAAATATTTGGATGGACTGTTTGAAGAAAGATATGTGTGAAAGGGGTGCGTATTGAGAGAATGGCAGATAGAGGAAATGTGGTAGGAAGGGAGATGTTGTGCCGATCCCACCTAGTGTGGGATATGGGCAAGAGAAAGTAGAAGAAAAAGAAAATAGGTGAGAAATTAAAAGAAAGAACAGGATTGGAGGTCCCGGACAATAAGACACTGAGTTATTATTAGTATTCCCAAGCCAGTAGTATAGCCAAGACAACAGTTAATGGAGTTAACCAATCAAATTTTAATTAAAGTTTTTATTAAGATTAACAAAACAGTAATCCTTTTGTGTGAGCATTCTTTATAACTATATGTTGAATCACTTTAAAACCTCTGGCCTAAACTATATCTGTTAGGAGTTAAAAACTGTGAATAAAGGCCATCCTCCTAGTAAATTTCAGTATGAGATTCAAACTTTTCCAAAAACCTTATATGATAATTAGTTTTGAAAAGATCAATACAGATAGATTACTCTAATCTAATGTTAACAGGTATGTAGTACTTAATAGGTATAGAGTGACAGCTAACAAATACAAACTTTACTCAAATTGTTTATAGCACTTTAAAATCTTTAAAAAAAAATAGATCATGTTAACTCGAGCTGAAAGAAAACTGCTTCAAACACTTAATTTTATATATTAACCAGCAGGGTCATCTAAATTCATGTCAATTAATTTACTTTTGCCTTTTTTTTTTTCAAGATATTGTGGTGATATTTTATATCTATATATATTATTATAGGTATTTCAGTATTATTTGGATTAATGTTCTTTTTTCCAACTGTGTAAACATTTGTATACAGTATAAGGTATAACATAGGAGAGTTTCGCCACATGTTAACTAAAACTACAAATAAACTTTTCTTTCAGTGGGGCTGTGGTGGTTCCCTGGTCAAGTTGATATAATTGTGAAGCAAAATCTGTTTGCTCTACCATGGTAAAGTGCAAAACTCAATTCATTTCAATAAGCATCACTAATTAATTTAGTTTTAACATCTGCTTACAATTTGGACTGCCTCTACAAAATCTCTGCAATATGATAACAGATGTTAATTAACTTAATTATACAGCTGTTAGCCGAAATTTGTAATTTTGTAATTTTTTTACATGTAACAAGCAATTATGAAGATTACTACTCTACCTATGAATTAAGTACTATCAAATTTTAGCGGAGGGGGTTGTAGGTTTGATTCCCACACAGGGCAAGTATCATGTGTCCAAATAATTGTTCCAGATATAAGAGACTGTTCAAAGGAGGGTTCCAGAGGAATGACCCGATGGTCATAAAAATCTAGCAAAAACCACTTACAACTTTCACATGTTGTGCCAACCCAACCTATGTGGGATAATGGCAAGAGGAAGCAATTTTGTCAAGGGTTGCTACACTTTAAACGTCATTGAACACTAACCTAATTATATTTTATTCTATGGAAGCCCATACCGCATGATTTCAATTTAAATATGAACAAAAACTTTTATTTTAAAATCTTCATTCTAAAAAACATTGTTGTTTGTTAGTCGTGCTAAAACTCGAGAATTACTGCCCAACTTTGGTTTTGAAATATTTGTGGCAGTCCAGAGAAGGTTTAAATGATGAGAAATTATGGAAAAATTTCATGGAAAATCAAAATAATAACAAATTTAATTTCCAATACTAATTGTTCCTACCTGTCAAACATTTTATGTGTGCATTCTGAATATTCTTTTTCTATATGTTTCAGATTCACAAATTCCCCAGAAATTATTTGGCTAAACAACATTTGATTTGTCATCTAGTTATTAATATAAGAAGAAAGACTATTTTGGTAAAGCAGTACAACATTTTTATTTATTGTTTGTTTTATTTCTCACTATCACAACACTAGGAAAAAGCAATTCTTCCATTGAATGATGATCAACAGAGAATTAAAACCTTTATTTACTACAAAATATTGTATTAATTTTAAAGAATAAATTTAATAAGAAACTCAAAATTTTTAGTTAATACTTGGAAGCTATCCAAGTTGGGCTTATAGGAACAAAGTATTACATAAGAATATAAGGTATTATGTCAGCGGGTAATTGGAGCATAATTAACTATATGTTATCAGTAATGACAGTTTACATTCAAAATAAAATGAATTATTAAACAGATTCTTATAAGAACATACAAGTTCCTTAAATCATGTTATAGATATTTATATATAGGAATTTAACACTTATTTAATCTTGTCCATTAAGAGATTTATCTCTTTGGTGTATTATGATATAAAAAATAATTGATCATAATAATTTATTTGAATTTTGATACAGAACCATAACAAACCTTTATCTTTAAAGGATAGATATTTATGTGGCCTGTCATCTGGCTAAATAGATTAAGATACTAAGACTTACCGTTTATAGACCAGATGTGTGAAGGCAAGGAGTGTGCCGCATAAACTCTGCCGAGTGCCAATGATGTTCCAGGTCCTGGACCAGCCTCCTCATTAGAGCTAGAGTCTGTGTCGGGGCTCGCCGCTGCGGAGGCTTCATAACTTTGTGAATTTGCTGGAATTGCAATGGCCTCATGCGAGTCGTGTAGGTCCGGCACAGAGGAGAGCGACCTCGCCCTCTGGCGATCATTTGTCACCTGTATACCCGGAATCGCGCGTAATAAGCTAAAACCGGCGCCACCGGATACGACGTCCGAACTGGAGCTCGTGGAGAATGTCCTTGCCCGCGGACTCTGCCCTCCGTTCGCCGTACTTGCCTTAGCACCCATGACTACCGACTTTATTACGCAAATCGCACTAGTCACACACTAAATTTATTCGGTGATCACGAGCACACGCGTAAAGCGACACCCGCGTCGTCTGCACACATCGTACGTTAAACAAAAACGAGCAGCGGTTTATGAAAATTACACCGCTGTTAAATCGACAAACAGAAGGACGTCGCAAGTACCTACTTGTAAACAGCGTTGCATGTGCCTTCCTGCAAAATTTTGACAGTTCTCGCAAGTGGCTCAGCTCTAATATCGATTCTAATCGATTAAATTGAAAACTAAAATTCACAACAAGAAATCAATAATAATACTTATGAAAACCATTACAATTTGCTTTTCAAGAAAGTTTTAAGTTTCTAGATATTAAAATATTTTTACAAGACCAGTTTACAATTATATTGCATGCATTTTTGGCCAATAACAAAGACTTTTTCAGTTTCGTTTGCCTTTATGTTTAAAATTGTCTTTTATTTGTGTTCGATTTCTGCTATATGTTCAACAAATAGGAAAAACATTAAACCTTAATGAATAAAATTATATGTTATTGTTTTATCATGTGAACGTGATTCCGTACTAGCAATCTACTAACCTTGTCCACTTGCACAAAGTGTACGAGAAAGTGGAAAGTAGATTCGCAGCTTCAAAAGGACAATTGAAAGGTTATTTCTATTGTTAGTTGCAAACGCGTTTGACAAATCTAGCATAACGGTTTAATTTAAGCTACGCTCACAAAAAGTGCCAGGCAGACTGATTAAAATCACGACTACTTGTCGAAACATCGATTTCAATTTCAAATTAAAAAAAAACCCTTTCGTGAGCGGTCGAACCAAGAATCAGTATTTTTCCCGAACCTTTATTGCCTGAATAGGCAATAAAGGTTCGGGAACATGTGATACATGTGATACATCTAGAACCTCTAGGGTCGGGTTAGCACGATACACCGTCATTAAAATTCGGATTATTTCCCGCTTAAAATGTCATTTGCAAAACCAAACACCCTCCCGTTATATTGGTTGGTCTAAACATCGATGAGCATTACGCTACATAAAAATTCAAATTCAAATAATACATTAACACTGTGGCCAACAAGCTAAAGTACCTAGTCTTACCAAGCACCTCTCTAACGGGCGCCTAGAAAAATGTCACTAAGACGCAAAGTTCATGTATGCAACGCATTTTCAGCATCCTATATGCGAATATATGGTCATACGCGAATGTTTGTTTCGCACATATTCCAAGTAATTAATTGAAACCACTCGTAATAACTCAAAATCGATATGTTCATCGGGCATCTGGCCAATGGTCCACCTTCTTTAAAGAAGTGAAGATAAGGCATTTTAAACGAATGAAAAGAATTTTTATGCCACGGGTTAACACTGCACCACCAAGCTTACCGCGATAGTCGGCACACACCCCATTCACTTTTAACCATGCACGAGGCATAGTACGTTCACCGACGAGCGCAAAATCTTTCTGTTGTGTTATTATTCTTATTTAATACGATCTTATGTTCGTTACATAATTAATTAATCGTTTTCTTTATATTTTTCGTACATAATATGTGTCTGTTATGTTACACAAGTTCTCATCAACTAATAAATTTCGCATACCTATTATTGTTATCGTAAGCGATTGTGTGATGTATGTATGTGCCGTGAATACTAAGGTATATGTCGTAATTTCGAACTTATTAGTTCCATCAGAATAGGTTACACTATCGATCGTGGTTTAAGCCGTGGTTCAAATCTTCACTTAATTGGATTTTAGAAGGTTTCGAGCCCCATGACTCGGTGGCGCCGTTGCTAAGCTACTTGCCGACCCCCGACGCTGAACGTCGGGGGTCTTAGGTTTGATTCCTACTCGAGACAACTATTTGTGTGATCCACAGACAGATAACTGTTCCGGATCTGGGTGTTTGTTTTCCAAGAAGTGTTCACATTAGGCAGGCGTCTGGTTGTAAAATAATGCCAAAATCACTAACAACATGATCCATATGTTGTGCAGACCCCGCATAGGTGGCATAAGGGCAGGAGAATTATGATCATGGTGTCGAGCGTAGTTATTAGTCGAATTTTATTATTGTACATCTTAAAGTAAAAGTTGTTCCGTTAACAAGCGTCGCGAGATACAATGGAGCAGACGGCGCAAAAAAATTTTTCTTCTTATATTCTACATATTATTTGGTTGAAGTTTTTTCTTAACTGTCATTTACATTTTTAGTCTGTCTGTTCATTTAATTTCATATTGATAGCAGTTTAGATATCTGATTCTTATCTATGGTTGATAGTATACTAATAAAGTACAACTTACAATACAATACAAGTACATTCATGAAAACATTAGTGATTCATGTTTACGTGTAAACTGTTGAAAAATAACTAAATAATAATAATTAATTAATTGGTACAGTACAGTTGCAATGAATTCCGCCACTGTAAGTTTGCTTGTTTTTAAGATATAATGCCCTACTAAATTTATCTGTCCAAATATATTATTCATATGTATAAAAATTTGCTGAGTTAATTTGCACTAATCACATTTTACGTTTGATTGTTGTTTTGTTTGATTAAACTTGACTAATGTCTTCAATCTTCACTATATTTCCCTTCAGGAATTATACCGCATAGTCGTTTCTAACTTTTTAAATTTTGCTTTCATCTTAACTGCTGCATAATTTTATTTGCCTATAAGTTTTGCGTGTAACATTACGACTTATAAAACGAACTTTAAACCATTGTAATTTTAAATTTCATTTAATTGAATTATCGGCTTTGCACGGCTTGTGCTCACGTAGTTGTGTTGTCGCGCTACTTACAGCCAGGTGTGCCCCAGGTGCCGCTGCTGGATGATGACACCATTGCATTTGGAGAAGAAGATAATGCCAATAAGCAATTTGTGTAAGTTCATCATAGCTTTATGTTATTGTATTTTTAACCAAAAATCGATGCTTTTATTAAATTTTTTTGAAAATTTATTGCATTACTTATGTAAAACAGCTGGTGTAATACTACATTCATATAGTGGAAGTTGGGTACTTTTTACACTTTCTTATAACCATATTATCTTTAAGGCCTGTTATATATCAAAAATATGTTATGTTGTCTTAGACTATAACTATAAAATAATAAGTTGAATGATTGTTGTATAAGATATAGCAAATTATTTTTAACAATTTTATATCTATGTTTCAGCCATCCATACATAGTCTTCTTCCACCTAATATTTAGAAGTTCAGCTATTGTTGTCTACATATTATGCGGTTGGTTCTCGGACTCGTTCATTGCTAGCTTCGTTTTGGTAATATTGCTGTTGTCAGCTGACTTTTGGACTGTGAAAAACATTAGTGGTAAGTTTATAATTACTGAATAAAATTTTCCATTATTTTTATTTTGTAAACCACTCGCAAGCTATGGAGCGGGCTATGCTCGGTATTTCTCTGTGTGATAGAGTACGCAACAAAGACATCGGCAGTAGAACAAAGGTAACCGACACAGGTCAGAAGTATAGTAAGCTGAAGTAGAAATAGGCTGGCCATAGAGCTTGTAGAAACGATAACGTTGGTGAAGAAAGGTTCTCGAGTGGCAGCATCGTACTGGCTTTCTCAGTGTGGGACAACCCCCCACTAGATAGAGTGAAGACCTGTGCAAGTGTGCAGGAAGTCAATGAATGCAGGTGGCTCGAGATCATACTGCATGGCAGTCTGTGGGGGAGGCCTATGTTCAGCAGTGGACTCAAACAGGCTGAAATGATGATGATGATGATGAACCCACTCAAACATCTTAATGCTGACCTACACTTTTATTACTGGTTATGATATTCGCAAGTGTTTAAGGACCATCTTCAAAATGTCCATTTTCAACTACATTGGAGCCAGCATGGCGGTTTGAATTCAGGTTACTTGGTACCAGATTAACAGTCCTGACTAGAAATTAACAACCCTGCCTTTATTTATGAATATGAATAGTTTGGTATACTATTGAATATCAGTTGTACAAATCAATTGATAACAATTATGTACTAGTACATTAAAGTTAATGGCAAGATTATGCTCAATCCTTTAGACGAAAAGACATTATTAATGTTTGTCAATCTTAAGTAAAATAATAACAGAGTTGTTAACATACAATCATGGACAAAATTAAATGTTACAGGTCGACTGTTAGTTGGATTAAGGTGGTGGAACTATGTGGATGATGATGGAAAATCACATTGGGTCTTTGAATCAAAACAGGTATGTCATTGTACATAAGTATTTTTTCATATATTTTATGTATGTCATAATTTCTGTTGATATTAAAAAATATATAAACCATAATATTGGATGCGTAAAAAAATGTTATTAAAAGAAAACATACATATTCTAATAAATATAAAGTGGTCATTTCATATAAAAAAGCTGAAAAAATTATTTAATTTCTTGTAATATAAAATGTTTTTAGTACTTAATTAGTCAATGTTTATGCAGAAGGCAGGTACACTACGCCGTTTGCGTTGTCGATTTTTTGACTTTAACAAATAGATTGTTATTTTACATTTCAGAATCGTGTGAATCGTAATGAGAGTCGTCTGTTTTGGTTGGGACTCATACTATGTCCTATGATCTGGTCAGGATTTTTTATCATCTGCCTCTTTGGGCTTAAATTTAAGTGGATGGTTTGTATATTTAATTGTTTATTAATAATTTTGCCACATAACTTGAATAATAAAAAAACTCTTTACAAGCCTCAATTGGGTAGAGCTAAAATTACATTTTATGCTCACATTTCAATTTAAAATTTTAGTCACTAGTTTTTTTTTGTAACTGCCTATATATGATCCACTGCTGGGCAAAGGCCTCCTCTAGGAGAGGATATCAGGGCATAGTCCACCACGCGACCCCACTCCGGAGGTTTTTGATATATTTTTTTGTTATTATTTCGAAAATGAGCAGGTTTGCTCACAATGTAGATATATTCTACTAAATATCATATTGGTAAGGAAAGTTTATGAAAGTTCAATGTTTCATGTTGAGAAGTTCTTAATATACTTAGTGTACAATTTTAATATTAAGTATTGTTAAAACTATGGCATTTTTTTAGCTCCTTGTCCTCATTGCGTTGACCCTCACCGGAGCGAATCTCTATGGTTACGTCAAGTGCAAATTTGGCGCGAAAGAGAATCTTAAATCGGCGACCACAGACTTCGTGAAGAAACAGATACTACAGAATGCAACATCATTCATGTTTACACAGCCAGCACCTCCAACCACAAGCAATACGGGCGTTGTATAATATAATTTCTTACGCACTCTGATGGATAATGATATGATGTGTGCATATTATTTAGTAAATGTGAAATATCATGAATAACAGTTAGTAAAATCCCCAACAAAAAGTATCCTTCTTTTTGATGTGATTATGAAAAGTTTAAAAGTAGTAAGTATGTATTAACTTCTTAAGTATAAATTCAAGTTTTAGTGCTCATATCTTTTAAGATATAGTACATTATAATATAACAATTTGTATTTATTAACTTTAAATGTAAAACAAAAGTTGTACTTGATTATTGCATGATGACAATTATTATGATGTTTTATACCAGATATTTAATATGGTCCAACATTCTTAAACAGTAAAATGTTATTAATACCAATATAGCTATTCAATACTTTATTATTTATGTTAATTTAATAATTTTGTAATTAAAACTGAATACCTTTTAGAACATTGAAGTATTATAAATGATTTTTTATTTTAGTCTTCTTTGTTATGAATTTGCAATGTGAGAATGAGAGATTTAAAGTTGTAATAAAAATGTTTAATTAAGAGTAAGTACAGATATTTTTCATTGTTTCAATAGAATTTTATAACCTTCTTCTTTCGTGGAACTTACTTAATCCTGTGTAAACTCTTCACTGGAATCCAAATGATTCTTGCTCTGCACTTTCATATGGATGCTATTTATTGCTGTTTCAATTTTGGACTGGATAAGAGTGTAAAATAAGCATAAGGTGAATAAGAGATTTGACTGTGAGTGATGGAATAAAGACCATAAAGAATTAATAGCACAACTACACTAGTCTGTAACATTATTCCATTTATTAACCTTTCCCTTTTGCCTTAACATGAAAGTCTCGCATTTGTCAATTAAAGCTTATTTATTATGTTCCCAATTGTTTGAATTTTAATTAGGCAAAGACTGCATGATTAAATATTTAATGAATGCTGCGAAAATTCCTATTTAAAGAAATACTTTTGAGAAAAAGAGGCATAGAAAAATTTATTTAGTCTTGAAATAAATGACTATCTATGTTTGCGATTTGCTCATATCAACTGTAAACATTGCTGTATACGAAATTGACCACGAAAAAAGTTATTACAAATACTAACTAAAAATAAAATTATCAAGAAATCTAAGCCACGCGAAATGGTAGCAAGAATCTTAGCCGTATTAATGAGTTGCTGCTGAAAAGTTATTCTTACCTTTAAGCGAGAACGTAACAGGCGTTCTTGTCCCGAGTCGCAGTAAAAAGCCGAGGATAATTGCAAAAATACGATGTGCAGGGTATCCAGACCTATACTTTCTACACCAAATGACACAGTTATACATAGTTTGTACTTTGTAGGCTTAGTGTGCTAAGTACTCACACTCGCCAAATCTGATACCAGATCTAAGGCCGCCGAAGATAATACGCATAGCAAGTATCGGCCCAAATAAGAGCTTAACTTTTCTCCTAAAGAATCAAAATCATCAAGTTATTTGCCAAATCTACACGGAAATTTCTACAAGCCTAGCACACGAAGGCAGAAAACATACTATAAATATTTTTTTATTGTTGAAACTTAATTGAAATAAATGTTGGAAATGTAAAGGAAAGGGCTATAAACAGGGATGGATGGGTGGTGTTACACAGCTGAACTACTGGGATGCTGTACTGACAAGAGTAGCTCTCAAATTAAAGAAGAAGAAGAAACTTAATTTATAATAGGGTGCACGTTAAATAAAAATATATTCATTACGTTTTTCCTCAAAATTCGTACTAGATAGTGCTGATAATAAGTGATCAACAATATTAACATCCTATCGTATTTAACAACTTTTCATAGTAATTAAATTATTATAAAACGTTATATTAGTATTAATAAAAAAAATATAACTTATAAAAAAAATATGCTCCAGGTGAGGCTCGAACTCACAACCCCGGCATTACTCACACGTACACTGTCTTATAAGTACCGTGCGCTAACCAATTGCGCCACTGGAGCTGTGTGGATGGTGTCAAAATTTCGCTATAGTTTTTACGACACCATTTGGGTCAAATGACGTCCTTTTTTATAACTATCAAACGTCAAAGTTAGTCATACAACTGCAGCTAAATAAGAGTGTAAAATATTTTTATAAACGATATCAAAATAGCCATTTACAATTGGTATTTCTGTTTTCTTCTTTCTTATTTAGTAAAGAAATTGTCTTGTCTGTCATCTAATTCAACGTCAGTGTTTGCCAAAACCTGTTAAATTGCATAGAACATAAACACAAAATGGAATGTATGTAAAATGTAAACGTCATATTTAATGTGCAGTGTATGTTATGTTGTGATTTCATTACCAATAACATTCTTAATGTTGAGCGTTTGAATTATTTGGTGTAAAATATTTGTGCTTATTAGTGTCTAATGTGTAAACAAGATGAATTGGTTCGATACGGCGGGGTTGACGAGTTTAGCTAAGTCTGCTCTTAAAGAAGCTCAGAAAACTATTGACAAAGCGCTGGACATAACTGATGAGAGTAGTGAAGAACAGGATGACGATCCAGTCCCCGTGAAAGCAAAATCTATGAGTAGTGGTAATACACCTCAAAAAGACAGTTCGGATTTCTTTTCGTCCTGGGGGCTTACAGTAAGCGCTGAAAGTCCAAAAGATCCTATCAAGGAGCAACCTGTGGTAACCGAAAGCCCATCAAAGTCGAACTCTCAAAGCTTATGGGGGTCTTTTGCGGGGTCTTTCTTTGAGCAAACGAAAACATCAGAAGATGCATCGGCAATTGTTCGTCCGCCTAAAGCAAAATCAATGAATCTTATAGCTGATGCAAAGTATGGCAGCCAGGATGATTTGTTTTCAAGAAGTCAGTTAGTCATGTCAGATGGAGCAGAATGTTTAGAAACCAGGAAAGAAGATTCAATTTCGAAATCTGACGATAGACGCAACTCATCATTGTCACACAGATTGTCTCTCGTTTCAAGTAGGAATAGTTCAGATTCTGTTGAAGTTTTATCTCATAGTTTAAAGACTACTCCTGACTCTGAAGCTTCAATACATACAATCTCTAATAGCAGTAGCGCTGGACAAAAGCAAACATCGGAATCTGTGGAAATATTGCCTGATAGTCTTATAAGTCCCAGTTCCATAGAATGTCTTGGTTTTGACAGTTATGCAAGTGATAAAAATAGTAGTAACTCTTCTAATCTTTCACCTCATGATTTGTCAGACAAGAAATCGACTCCGCTCGGAGAGATGACGGAGAGAGCACACACAGCTGATAGCGTTAGCTTGGTAGCTGATGATGATGATGACACTATGTCTTATAATTCTATATCCGAGTGTACTGCACCTACTGTTCTAGACACAGATGAGAAACCTATTAGTCCATTTCCAAAAGCAAGGCATGACATACATAAAAAAGGAACAGATAAGGAGCTTGTTCATCTTGAGCACCCAATTGTTCCATACAGAATGCAGTTAAGTGAAAATTCCTCAAATGATGGTTCCTGGTCTGACCGTACATTGAACGCCGATAATGATAGCATCAACCTAGAAGCTGCAGAAGATCAAAGAAAAGAAAATGACCATGAAGACATACTTATGGAAAAATTGAGTGATTCGTCATCATTTTACAATGTCAATGTTTCGTCAGATTTGTTGAGGTCGGATAGCTCGGCTTTTGTTAATGTTGAAAAGCAACAATGCAGTGCACCAGGTAGTAGTGAGTCCTCACTAAAAGACAATAGCATTAAGGAAAGAACATCACCTATCAGTTCAGATAGTAAAAGTGATTTGGTCAAAATTGGGTCTGATCGTACATCTGGACACACTTCGGGTGATGAAGTTGAAACTGCTACATCATCTGATATTGAAATAATACCAAGCCCCAACGGTGACAATGGGCATGGATACTGTAAGAACAGCCCTGGAAAATACAATTTCAAGCAGGCTGGTACAATATCTCCTAATCTTGTTGACTTGGTTCTTGGAAAATCACTGGCAACTAAAATACGTGGCCACACTAGGGAATTGTCCGAAGCATCTGTGCAAAGTAACACTAGTGACGAGAGTCAAGGTTCTGAAAATGATAGATTAATGAGAAGATTGTGTGAAATGGCAGAGATATTAGACGCAAGAGAAAGCAGACTGATGGAAGTTAGTAGGAATAATGCAGAATTAGTAGAAAGCAATGCTAGTTTGAAGAGTCAGATGGAATCTTTACTAGCAAAGCATGATTTAGTAGATATTAATACAATTACGGATGATTACACTCAAAGGATGTCGGCTTTGGAGAAGAAATTTCAGCAGGCTATTAGAGAAAAGGTAATTCTACACGATATGGGCAAACTGTATTATCAGCAGATATGATTTGTTACTTCCATTATTTTAATCGTTTATTTATTATTTACTTTCATTATAAAGAAATTCAAATTTCAGTCAGTGTAATGTTTGTCTAACTACTAGTAGAGTGCATAGGCCGTTATACTGTTTATATTCAGTCATTTTAATCATTTCAATATAATGTATGTCTACTGCTGAACATAGGTCACTCTACACACATAGTATGATTCTGATTCACCTGCATCCATTAGTGCAACAGGCAAAGATATTCTCCTAAAGGATTTTTCTATTCTCTTAACTTTGTTTTTTATTGTCATCATAGGCTTATAATGTGATGGATTATGTACAACTGTCACTCTATCTATAGTTTTAGAAAAAATCAAAATACAATTTGATTTTTTCTGCAAAGAAATAGTAACATTTGCTTTCATCAATGAGTTAATTTTGTTGAATTACTGCTTTTACTATGTCTAGCATGAGTATTTATAATATTGAATCTTATATATTTATATATTGCATATCGAAAAAAAGTTTATTGAAACTCGGAACCTAAAGAATTTCCCCAACACATTTTATTTTGAATGGAGATTAAAAGTATCACATCAATGACATTAAGTTTTAAATATTATAATTATGATCAGATCAGCATAATAATAATAGTTGAAACTTACTTTTAATGTGACCCAATGTTGTGAACAAATTCTTTAAAGGAAAATTGAAATAAGATTTTTTTTAGAACAGCGTTTGTTGTGTTAATTCAATTCAATTAAATTTTTAATGTAATGGCTCCATCAGATGATGTTTAGTTTAGTCTTTTATTATACTGTACTTATAACTTCAGTAGTGCAGAAAGTGCTAATTTTTAGGGTTGCCAACCATACCGGTGATCACTTACCATCAGGTGAGCCTCCTGCTCGTTTGCTGATTTTTTTCCCATAAAAAAAATAACTTATAATAACTTATCCTACTTTATTTTTGGCAAACATGCTTTATACTCTTGCATAAAAATAGAGTATCTGAAAATAAATTTCTGGCCAGTTTATCCTTATCCTTAAATACTCTTTAAGGATAATGAAAAACTGTGTGCTCGAAGCACACAATAACAATTTTTTTTATTTTCAAGAGAGAGAAAAATAAATAATAAATGTATTAAATTTTGAAAAATATCTTTTTTCTTCCAAATACTTTATTTTTCCCTAGTTGAAAAATATGGTACGTTATTTTTCTCAAACTCTCAAACGGTTGGCTGCGCTACTAATAGTTGAGTAATTCTATTAGTAGGGTTGGCAACTAAAATGCTGTTTCAAATCAGTTTTGAATACATTTATGACTAAGCATGTACAACATTTCTTTGTTACTTATCACTTAACATTATCTTGTAATAGTTGTAAATCAATAAAATCAATTGTTACAAATGCATCTTTGGTGTCATTAAACAAACCTGGAAATATTGCCATGATTTCGTTGTCAAAAATAGTTTCGTTTTAGACTTCATTGATGGCATTCTTGTGCACAGAACTCAATGATATGGTGAAGTAAATTTATAGAATCGTATACATTAGAAGCTGATAGATGTAATATTTTGAGCACTAGACAGTAGCAAGTTCTTTCTAGAATATCGATTATACGATTTCTAGTCAGATCTTTAAATAAATCTTTAAACCTAGTCCGGAAGGATGTCTATCATCATTCATCGTATCAAAGAATTGATGAACACTGCAAAGCTCGCGACATGACTAGATATTAGGAAATCAAAACTACAAGTTCTCTCTTTATTCCATCTATAAGGACCAGCTAAGGAAGGAACTGGACAAGGTGAAGTTGGAGTCCACCCGTAAGGTCTCCTCGGAGCTGGAGAACGGCATAAAGGAGCGCGACGAGGTGATAGCCCAGCTCCAGGAGGAGGGGGAGAAGCTCGCCCGCCAGGAGTTGCAGTACTCGAACATCATAAAGAAGCTGCGCGCGAAAGAGAGGGACAACGAGCAAGTCATAAAGAACCTGAGGTTGGTTCGCTTAATCATCATTTCAGCCTATTCGAGTCCACTGAACATGGTCCCCACATAGAGCGCCTCGAAACTCGATCTTGAGCCACCTGCATCCATCGATTTCCCGCGCATTTGCACAGCTCGTCACTCCATCTACCGGGGTGTCGTCTTATACTGCGGTACAATACGAGGCTGCTACTTGAGAACCTTTCTTCACCATCGGGGTTCGCCGTGCTATATCGTCGGCCCATTGCTACTTCAGCTTACTAATCTTCTGAACTACATTCTGGCTCACTTAACAGATTAGAATTGGATTGCTTGAAACAATAAATACTTCTCGATAAACTCTTCTCAATTAAGAAATTCACCACAAAAGCTTTTCATAGTTATGTCAGAAAGTAAAGCCTGTCGAGGGAGCCTATATTAATATGTTCAACTAAATACGCTTACGCCCGGTTTCTGAAACACTGATCATCGTAGATGTCAACTAATCAGCTGAAATGGCTTTTCAAATGTTGTTTGAGTTGCCAAAAGGATTGTTAAATTACTTTATATTATTGTTAATTAATAACGATGATCAGTGTTTCAGAAACCGGCCGTTAGTGTCGCGTATTTAGTCGCGCCTTTCGTTTTTGATATCCATATCCACCGCGTCGAAGAAATTACTAATATTTAAAGAAATAAACACGTTCATCGGCAAATCGGTTTCCAATTATTAAGTTACAATTATTAACCTTTTTCTTTCCCTTGAATTTGATTCAGGGATAAAATAGCGGAACTGACGGCCGAGTTGGATCGGGTGAAACGCTCAATGGCCGCCAAAGAGGAGCTCGAAGTCAGCCAGATCGAGGCCGTGTACCGGCTCACTACGTCGAACAAGAAGTTGGAGACGGAGTTGAACGAGGTAAGGAAAAGAGGGAGAAAGAAGGAGACAGACAGAGAGGGACACAAAGAGAGAAAGGAAGGAAAAGTAATATGTTTTACACAACTCCCCTAACGTTCACGAAGAAATCGATGCGCATAAAACTCTTACCGCGAATATCTCTACACTTACAGCCATTATCGTTCATTGTACTTTATATCATCAATCGGTAAAAAAAACTCCAGTAAAACTACACAAAGCTGATTTTTTTGTAACGATCAGAACTTGCAGAATGAATAGTGAAACGTATTAATACTCATATAATTATACTTAGTAAATAATAACGGAGTACCTACATGGTCCCAATCTTTACATAGTATAAAATTAGTATAGTATAAAACAAAGTCGCTACCGATGTTTGAACGCTTAGATATTTTAAACGGATTTTTAATGCGGTTTTCAGCAATAGATAGAGTGATCCAAACAAAAAGTTTATATGTACACATGCATATTATAGCAGAGAAAAGCCGAGATTCAATATCCACATTTAGGGTTGCCAACTGTTTTTTATAAAAATAAAGTATCACACACACAATGTTAAAAGTTGAGAAAAATAAAGTATTTGGAATAAAAAAAGAGTATTTTTCAAAATTTTATTATTTTCTTTTGAACATATATTTTTGTATGCTTCTGATTAAATAAAAGAGGACTTATTTTTTTAATACAATGAAAATTTGCGGAAACAAAAAGACACTGATCCCACAAAGGTTTAAAAATATGTCAAACGAAAAATTATCACATAAGAATAAAGTGATGAAATTGATGTAGGTAAAACATGTTTTTGTTTAATATATAAATAATAGCTAAAGCTTCTAATTAGAAAGCGTACTGTTTCAACTTAGAAGTATCGATAAAAGTTCGGTAATTAAAATAGTTCGGTACATAAATTGTAAGTGTTTCATTTTATGCATCACAGTACATATTCAAAATAAAGTATTTTCACACTACTTTATTTTTATGCAAAAGTATAAAGTATATTTACCAAAAATGAAGTAAAACACTTTATTATATAGTATGGTTGGCAACCCTAACTACATTCCTCCCGTGCGAAGCAGGAACGGGTCGCTAGTACTACGCTAGTACTCAATAACAATGAATTATTGGAACAAATCACTAAAACTGTGTCGTACAAACTGGGAATAACGTCCGAATTATTAATTCTTCGGACGTTATTAACAGCCTTTTTTCCCCGCCACTGGGTGTGGGCCCTTCTGGTTATTGGTGGTTTGGTCATGGTCATCGGTTCCACTTTCGAACCATCCATTCTTGTCTAGTCTTGTCGTGGATCAATCTTAAAAGAGGTAGAGTTAGGTACTTTGACTGTATTAAAAAAAGTAAACATTTGAACCGTGGTTTTATGACATGACACATTTTTTTTTTTTTTACTTTTAATAGGATAAGTAATATAATGTTTATATCTATAATCGTGACGGAATGACATAAAATTTATTTAATGTTCAAAAAAAATTTTCTTTGCCTGCAAATTAATGAAAAAGAGAACTATTTCAGTGTTAGATAAAAAATGTTCCATGAAATAGGACAAAAAGGATTCGCCCCCGGGTGGGCTCGAACCACCAACCTTTCGGTTAACAGCCGAACGCGCTAGCCGATTGCGCCACGGAGGCGATGGGAGATGCGCCGAAAATATAAACTTGTTTACACAACGTCTTCTCGAACTGAGTGTCATCTTTTGCATAGATATGGTGAAATATATTTACTTTGACAGGAATGTACTTGTCTTTTAATACACGTAGCTCGACCGTTGCGCATTTTTTTTGTTTTAATTTTATTTATTATACTGCATTTCTCACCGCTTAAATTGGACTAAATTTTCTTAATCTACGCTGGACGACTTTAATAGGAGCTTGTAAAAATCGAAATTTAGGTAATACTGACTAGTTTTAGTTGTTGACGTAATTTTTTTCACAGTACATTAACACGATAAAATCCGTAAAACAGTTTTATTTTACCATATACCTAAACTATTCGCATCAATACAAAAAAAATCATTATTAATGTTATTGCTCGCATTCGCAAAATGATACATTTGTACGTAATTGTGAAATGTAAGTACATTGTTCGTACATTAGCGCGTTTCTTTACACAACACAAAGCGTTCGACACATTAACGTTTTATTATCGTATTATATTGGATTTATCAGGCGCATGAGCCATCGGAACAATGGGAGGGCCCGTTATTGAAATACAACTGTTATATTATATCCTCTCTTTTAGCGATTATTATTTGTTATTATAAGGTGGTACATCCTGTACATGTGTACGACACGTGGACGTAATATCTAAGAAATGTAGCTGAAACGTCCTGTACAGACAGATATGATTGGAAAAATATACTAGTTACTTATTGATTTACTGGTCTTCTGCTCAAAGACCAAACAGTTTCCGAGATTTTAAATAGTCATTGGTAACATTGGCTCAATGCCTATTGTAACGGATTTCCTGCGGGTTTCATAAAATAACATTTGTCGTACGTATTGGAAACCGATAGCCAATGGCATACCAATGCCTATGTCATTATTATTGTTCCAAAGATATTCTCTCTCTAAATTGTAAAGGTTCAGTGGTAATGAAAACCACGGGCCTCAGCCCAATTATTTTCGGGAATCAACAATTTCATGGATTCTATCAATTTAGACTTCATAATATTATTAAAAAAACGATAGAGAGAACATAATATTGTTAAGAAACAAATGTTAAGTTTTTGGGTTGTTAATAAAAACCTGTCTTGAAATGTCAACTTGTATTGGTATCAGAAGTTTGAATACTTCAATAGTTGACAACTAATAAAATAGTACAGTGTATATTATTCAGAGACAATAGACAAAACAAAAAGAAGTCGCCCCCGGGTGGGCTCGAACCACCAACCTTTCGGTTAACAGCCGAACGCGCTAGCCGATTGCGCCACGGAGGCGATGTGCAATAGGTCGAAAATACGCACTATATCCATGAATAATTTAAGATAAATAAATGTGCGAACCAAATGCTTATCGCGAATGTTATTAATAAGGTTTCGTATCGATTAAATTTATTGATACCAAAGCTGATTAGTGCAGTTTCAATTATTATAATTAATTCTTTTCGATGTTACTCTTTATTAATTTATAATTTTTTAATTAATTAATTTATAATTTTTGGGAAAATCACCTCTTTGGAACTTAAAGTATCCATGTTTCATATCTAGTCGCCGCTTATATTAATTTATTTAAGCTTTATTTAAATTTTATTCGACTCATCTCATCATTCAGACTTCGATTTCCATATTATTTTTCAAATATTTCAAATACATACGATTTTCGTATGTATTTGAAAAATTTTGTATTAACCGAAATGGGAATCATTACGGTAGTTAAATGTCCCCGTTATGACTTTCCCTCGGAACTTTAAAGGTTAACGTAAAACAATTGTATACATTGCAGATTTAATGCCTGACGCATTCTCTGCCTTCACTCGTTCGGCATCCAAAAACAATAGAACCTAAAGTCTGTTGAGCTTCTAGGTTTATCCTCTTACTTTATCGTCAATTACTATGTTGTAAGCGCAGCGTCTACAAGGCCATGCCGTTAGAATTGTTAGTGCAAGTGCCTGAGAGGTCGCTTATTAAAAACATAGTTTTTAATAAGCGAGTTTCTTGCCGGTCTCTTCTCAACAGAAACCGCTTTCCGAACCGGTGGTACTTGACGAACCTATATATACATAATCTTTGATGTAAAATTTGACGATTCATAAGAGCGCGCAAGCGTCTATTTGAATAAATATATTTTTGATTTTGATTTTGATTTTGAAAGCGGAGCAAAGCCATGTAGGGGTCATTGAACTTCAAAACTGATCCCATATCGAGCTGAGTGTCAATTTCCCCGTATTCTTTACAAATACTTATTTAAATGCAAATACAAATTATGGGTCGTAAAAGTCGAAGTCTACTTCGATATCTTCTAGATAGACATAAATGAAGGGTTTCTATTTATCCAACATTTAAAACATTAAATCTATGTAAATTACATACCACTATATTGAGTCATCGTATACAGCGTGTGGTTGTATAGGATGTTACTAATTTTGTTTCTTTTTTATTCAATTAGTTTGTTTGAAAAAATTTTTTTTTTTGATTATGGATTTTTTTGACGTTTTATATTTTTTTTGGCAAATGATTATTGGCAAGTAGCGTTACACGTGTGTTCATTTATTGTCGCGGTTGTAACGACGCGCAGTATATACCAACACACACGCTGAGTTGTCACACATAGCGATTTTTATGTTAGAAGGTGGCAGACGAACTGGTGGTTTATCTGATGTAAGCGATATCCGCCGCCCATCGACATTTGCAACACTCGTAGTGTTGCAGATGTGTTGCCACCTTATAATGTTAAAGTTTACCCCGGCCACCTCACTCACCAGACGATACGCAGAAGTATAACACTTCCACTTCACGCCGGTCTTCTGTGAGGTCGTGGTATTCACCCGGACGGACCTACCCATTCGTGCAACAGAGAAGACTGTTACGTGGCCCTGCCACAGTTGCATTCTTGAGAAGACTGCGCATTCGCTGGGCGTAAAATTGAATATGCTCAATTTAAATTGCGGTGAATGAATTTGTTCGCAGCGAATAGTCTGACATACATAACTAGTTAATTTGAATTCAATTGAACAATACAGTATTCGTTGTGTGTGGCCGAGGTTTTGAGATAAAGTTGTACGGCAAAAATGTTTTCCAATACAATTCATTTGTTTAAAAACAGTTGTACTGAATAAATCATTTATATCCATTAAAGTTATACTTAGGGCTTATTTGTTTATTAATAATGTGTCGATCGAGTTTTATGGAGGATAGTGTGATAGCAAAATGGAACGTTATCGTTTTGATTACCGGTTAATGAATCATAATGCCTTTATCATTCTAGAAGTGGTATAAATTGTACAATTCAATTATGCCGTTGTCATCGCTATAAAAGCATAATTCAAACAAACACGTAGTCGTATCTATTGTGTTAACTATCTTTTGTATTTATTGCCTTACAAACCTATATCAGTTTTTGTTTTATTTTAATTTGATGACACTTAATGATATTTGTGTATTAAAAACGGGGCGCTTAACGCACAAAAGATCGTAAAATCAGAAACTGAATATTTGTGAAAAAAATTTCTCCATGCGGGGCTAGAACTCATAAGAGTAGCCCATAGCTCAGAGTGTAGTTAATACTTAAGCCAGCCAATGTATGAAACTTCAACCAGAAAACGTAATAGATATTAAATTCATGGTTATTGTACTTTGTATTCAAATCGTAGATTTTTTTTTTACTATTGTTTTTACAAGGTGGCTGGGAGGAGTCAATGTGACTTGTAGATTGAATCACCGTCAACTAAGAATTTTCTTTTGGTCTTTGATGTTAAAACTTAAATTTTATTTATTTTTTGACATTTACCATAGTCTCCATGTTGCCAATGGCCAGTTCACCTGCTGTTGTGCCGTTAAAGACCATCGACTTGTATGACCATTGTACTCATTTATCTTTAAATTATCCACATCCAAATAGCGAAGCGTGATAAAAGGCGTACTTTACTCGACATTGACGTAAACCTTGCCAAGTCATTGATGAAAAAGGTAACAAAAATTACCGTAATAATCAATTCGTCACGGTCGTATTGATTTGAAGATCATCATTCGATTTGAAGTGTTCCTAACCATATCATACAGCGTGCCTTTACAATTGCGACAATAAATGAACACACATATAGAGGATATGTTTTTAAAATTGTATTAAACATTTACATTCTTTAAACATCAATATTTGCCGAGTTATAAAATTATCCAAAACAAACATTTTTAGAACACTCTAACGTGTAAAACTGTAATTTAATTTCAAAAATTCATTTGTAAAGGTCACAAAGCATAAGAATGGGTTGAATTAATTTAAAAGAGGTTAAACATACTGTTAGAAGGAGAGATTTGTAATGCGACGCTGTGGCAACGAATGAAAAAGTCTCTGAATGTATGAATCTGTCCAGTTGTAAGTTTTATAGGATGTTACTAATTATGTTTCTTTTTTGTTTAATTAGTTTGTTTGAAAAATATTTTTTTTAATGTTTTTATTTAATTATGTTTTTATAGCATTATTGGCAAGTAGCGTTAGACATGTATTCATTTATTGTCGCGGTTGTAACGACACGCTGTGTACATGTATATACAATGCTCTCTGGCCTGCCCGGGGTTGTCTTGCCGCGCTCGATTTTAATAATTGACAGTTGCCTACCTCTTCCAGTAGATGGCGTTGTATTTCCGGTATTGAATCATTGTATTCACAGTATTGAATCATTGTGCTGTAAAATAAGTTTATTGTGTGGATTTCACTACTATCGGTCGAATCATTCTGACCAGATTTGGTTTAGAGTCAATTGTATGTAATCAAATCCGCTCGTAAGCATTTAACACCAGATTGGTTGTACTTGCGTTCATTTGCGTTCAGAGATTTGTACTTATTCGCAAAACATAAAAAAAAATTAACTGTTATATCGCTTCAATAATCGCATCCCTACCGAAAATTATTAATAATGTATAGAATAGAAATGAATCTTGAATAGAAATGAAAGTATGTGCCCCGCCCTCTATGACGACTCCTTGAGGTGAGCGATTTTCCGTACGCTCGCAACAAATTTTAGGCCTAAAAATTGTATCATTGTATGCTTGTCCTTTATCCAAAAGCTAAAAACGTGTCCTCTTTAAAATCAAAAAAAATATTGTAATGTCTTTATATCCATATTATGCAACGCAACTTATGCATGGTTATGCTAGTAACGGTTTATCGCAATGGACTAAAGCATACTTTTAATTTACACAGTACATCTGTTTGGAATCCCTGGGGTAGTTTCAATAAAATATACAACATCTTCCAATGAACACCATAAAACACCGTGGCAGTTATATAATTAAGAAAGTTAATTTAGATTACTAAGGCATATTGAGCTTTGTTAAAAATAGCGCCATTTAGTAATAAGGTATATCATAGACATTAGATACTGTTCGTGAATCTTCCACAGATAAGAAAGGTCAAGGGTGGTTATTAGTCAAGTTTCATTTTATATTCTTACAAATTAAATTTAGACTATTATTATACTTGTATTATTCATAGGTAGCATGCGAATATAGGATTATAGTCAACGTTAAGAATAACAATAAAACTATCTAATACCGACTAATTTCAATTCATTGAATACATTAAGTAATTGCCTCGCTTCATTCTTATCTTTTAACCTTCCGAAATAACGAGGGTAAACAACCATTTGGATTTATAGAAGTTTATGGTTCCACGTTTAATTATTGTTTCAATTCCTGAAGTTTCGTACATTTCACCGAATCTATGGTCACAGATCAAACTTTCGTTCAGTTTCTGAAACACTGATCATCGTAGAAATTAACTAATCTGTTGTCAGCGTTTCAAAAACCTGGAAATCCTGATCGGTGTTATCGTAGATATTTAACACCTTACAGTATTGGTGCGCTTGTAATTAACTTTATGAATTGTAGTTTGAAGCCGGCGATAAAAACTAAGTTATATTCTTAGTTGTCTCATGAAATGAATTGGCTGAATCATTCCTGGAAGGATTAAGCGTTCCTTTGTGAGGATTTTTGGTTTATCTAATACATATAACTGGCTGAGTAGGTGACAAAGTGCAGTTTTCTTTAACCGGCGGCGGTTTCGAAATTATACAATCGTATTCCTATGTGAACCGACCGGTTTTATCTCTCCGTATGACGTGTAATTTCTAGACGAAGAGCGCGCTAGACGACACCGTGCAGCGGTTGGAGAGCGGCCGGACCTCGCTGGAGGCGGCTCGCAAGGAGCTCGTCGAGCTTCGGCGGGGCGCTGCGGAGGCGGAGCGGGGCAGGGCGGCGGCGGAGAGGGAGGGGGCCCGCAGGGAGGCCGCCGAGCGGGACGCCCAGCAGCTCAGGGCCGAGCTGCAGCAGCTGCGCCTCGACAGGGCCAAAGGTGTCGGCTTTGTCTTCGTGTAACGGCCACATTCGTCCATGTATGTAAGAGTACGAATCGGGGTCGCGTGTTTTAGAGGAGCAACGGTGGGTGGCGCGCGAGGAGGCGCTGCGGCGGCAGCTGGCGGAGGCGCGCGAGGAGGGCGAGGCGCGCGGCGCGGGGCGCGAGGAGTGCGCCCGCTGCGCGGAGGGGCAGGCGGCCGCGCTGCTCGGCCAGCTGGCGGCGCTGCAGCGCTCGGCGCTCGAGCGCGAGCGCGCGCACAGCGCCGCCGCCGCCGCGCGGCTGCAGCAGCTCGAGGAGGCCGAGCGCGCGGGCGCGGCCGCCGCCGAGCGCGAGCGGCTCGCGCGCGACGAGGCGGCCGCGCTGCGCGAGCGGCTGGCCGCGGCCGAGGCGCAGCAGGCGGAGGCGCGCGCGCGCCACGACGCGCTCGCCGCCCACTGCCAGCGGGCGCTCGCCGCTCAGGAGCGGCTCGACGCTCAGCTCGCCGCGTAAGCTTGCCGTGTTTTGTTTTATGGGAAAAGGGTCAATCGAGCAGGCGAGCCGCCTGGTAGCAAGTGCTCACCGCCGCTCATGGACACTTACAACACTAGAAGAGTCATGCCAATTGATCGAAACTTCGAACTAAACGGATTTGTTTTTCATTTGTGTTCGATATCTGTAAAATATATGCAATAGTATTTGGTCTGTGTTAAATAAAAGTATAAGTAAATAGTCCAATCTTATACAATATATACCGTCTAGTAGTTTTAGAGAATATTAATTAGAAACGACTAATTGGAATTTTCAATTGAACTTTTCAAATTATTTATCAAGTCGAACGGCAGACCATTAAGTCCAATTAATCTCAGTTTCCATGATGTCGAAATCCATTAGTAACAACATAAAACGGCTCCCGTTTGCAGCAAGAGCGCGGAAGTGGAGCAGCTGCGCTCCGAGGGCGAGAGGCGCGTGGCCGAGCTGCAGCAGCGCCTGCAGGAGGCGGGACGCAGGAGGAGCGAGCAGGTGCACAAACGCTTTCTGCTATTTAAAATCATCATGATAATCTCTTGTATTCACAAGAGTACAGAATACCGAATGAAACGATGCTTACAGATTTAGTTTAGACGAATCCGACTCGGTTTTTATAGATGTTAAATTGACACCAAAAAGTGCCTGCACAAAATATGAATAGATTGCAGAAGTAATAATTTAAATTTCACCATTGTTCTTTGTACATAGAGTATAAGAGAAAACAAAATTACAAAAACAAATAATGTACAAAGGCGAGATTAACCCTAAAAAGAGTTTTCGTTTTGAAGGATTTGTTGAGATATCTCGGTGACGATTCGATGTTTCCAGAGTGCTGCAACCGAAGGAGAGACATCGCCGCCCCACTCCGTCACCTCGGAAACTCTCTCCGCTTCTCTGTGGCCGGTAAACTCCTATCTTTTACATCGCTTCATTACATATTTGTCAGTTAATGTGATTATGATCCGTGTGGAAGTTGTTGGATAGTCAGTAAATGACCACTGGAACCTTGGAGATTTATTGTAGTGTAAAGTAAAAAGTAAAGTAACAGCCTACACATGTCCCACTGCTGGGAAAAGGCCTCCTCTATACAGAGGGTATTAGGGCATAGTCCTCCACGCGGCCCCACTGCGGTTTGGCGGACTTCACAGATCTTCGAAATAATTTTTTGTTATTATTTCGAAAATATGCAGGTTTCCTCACGATGTTTTCCTTCACCGCGGAGCACGTGATAAGTGAGCACTTAAAGTTAAAAACTTCATTGGTGCCGGCACCGGGGATCGAACTCAGGTTGCCCGAGTATATTGAATTAAAGGCGAGGGCCCGGACACTGAACTATCACGGCTCAGTTTCTTTGTAGTGTAAGCGAGGCAAATTCTCAATGGTGACGTGTCGTCTAGGAGGAGAGCGCGGGGCGGTCGTCGCCGAGCGGGCTGTCGGCGCTGGGCGTGGGGCTGGGCGTGGGGCTGGGCGGCGGGCTGGGCGTGGGCATGGGCGTGGGCGTGGGCGTGGGCGCGGGCGTGTCGGCGCCGGGCGTGGAGGAGGCGCTGGCGGCGCTGAGCCGGCGGGACGGCGAGCTACGCGCCGCGGCCGCCGCGCTCAGCGCCGCGCGCGCCGAGCGCGCTCAGCTGCAGGCGCTGCTGGCCGAGCTGCACGGCCAGCTCGCCGACCACCAGGTGCTCGCCCCGCCGCTCGGCACCCACCTTCTTGACTAGCCACACGTTTTGACACCTGCTATACGAGATGAAAGTAGAGTAACAGCCTATGTTCCGCTGCTGGGTAAAGGCCTCTATACAGAGGGTATTAGCGTATAGTCCATTACGCGGCTCCTTGCCGATTTGAGGATTTCACTTATCTTCGAAATGTTTTTTTTTTGTTAATATTTCGAAAATATGCGGGTTTCTTTTCCTTCGCATCTGAGCGCGTTATAAGTGAGCACTTAAAATTTACAATTTCGTTGGTGCCGGTACCGGGGATCGAACTCACGTTATTCGAGTATATTAAGTTAAAGGCGAGTGTCCGGCCACTGAGCTATAACGGCTCGGAATATAAAGTAGGCTGAAGCTATTTGTTTATAGATTAACTGATAGTCTTCCACTATTTAGCTACGCGGTTGTAATGTGTATACTAGATGGCGGCAAGCTATGTTAAAAATGCATTAATGAAAATAAATACATACATATCGAGATTTCAACCACTTAGCCAATTGCTAGAGCGTCTGGACGCTTTACCCGGAAAATGTAGGTTAGAATCCCACAGCGTCGATAATTTTCGATAATTCATCTACAAAAAATAATACGTTGACTTTTGACCCCCTCCCCTCCAGAGCCTGCAGGAGCAGTACGACGCGCTGCTGCAGATGTACGGCGAGAAGGAGGAGCAGCTGGCGGAGAGCAGGCTGGACCTGCACGACGTCACGCAGCTGTACAAGGCGCAGCTCGACGAGCTGCTCGCGCTCAAGGCCAAAAGGTAGCGGCGCCAAGCCCGCTGCCACCGCTGCCACCGCTGCCACCCCTGCCACCCCTGCCACCCCTGCCACTCCTGCCACCTGACACACCATTTCTACGACGACCGCGAAGTATAGAAATAGAGTATACAATGTATGCTGCAAGTCTGCAACCGACACAGACGCTAATCTTACGGGATGTGAAATTATGTCGTTTTTCTTCTTTCATAATTCAATTACGCCTTCGACAAAATTCAGTACTTTATCCGCGTAACGAGTTTAGATCATGATTCGCGTCTATATTGATAATGATTTAAAAATCGTATTACGAGTGACGGCGACATTTTGAAAGTTAATACAGTTACAGGCTTTATTACAGTTTGTAATAATAAAATGGAGGTCATTAGGAATTGAAAACGGCAATAAATTGTTAATTTTTAACTTGACATCTTTTTATTTTGGTTTTGTGGAAGAATATGATTTTTGTAAAGCAAATCAATTTATAAATTCTTGTTACTTCATGTTGTACTATTTCAAGACAAAAATGCTTAAAGTTAACGTTATTATATAACGATGTCTTAGCGATAATTCAATGAAGCCATTTTTTCAATATAAGTATAGCTTTAGGTGCGATATAAACTTCGTGAAATTTGATTAAGTCGCGACACAATTGATTTTAAAGAATCGTGCAAATTATTTCGAGTTATCTACTATATATTGGGGGATTTACAAAGAATTGCGTTCTTAGATCACTTTGATTTAGTGGCATTTGGTCTACTGTTATCAATTTCGAAGTATTATTTAGGTTTTAAAATGTGATTTAATGTGGTTTTCAACGTTATTAAACATCACTTATACCGATTCATAGGAACTGTTTTAACTAATGTAAACATAAACATTTGTTTTCAATTCTACTTGAATATTTTAATTGTAATTTGCTCGCGCATTTTTTTGTCTGTAATTTTGTTTATAGTGTATCAAATTTCTTATCACGTGCTCCGCGGTGAAGGAAAACATCGTGAGGAAACCTGCATATTTTCGAAATAATAACAAAAAAAAAAATTTCGAAAATATGTGAAGTCCGCCAATCCGCAGTGGGGCCGCGTGGTGGACTATGCCCTGATACCCTCTGTATAGAGGAGGCCTTTGCCCAGCAGTGGGACATGTATAGGCTGTTACTTTACTTTACTTTTATCAAATTTGGGTCCATTTTGTGCTTTGCAGATTAGTCTATCAGGTTTCAAGGATGAACGCTACTTTTATAGACAGTCATGCATAGGTTATAAACTCATATATTATGTTTGTACGCAATGATGTCAATTTGTCAGCTTCTTAGACTGTGTTTACGTCATATAAAATGTTGCCGTAGCTAAAATTCCCTTCTTGAATTTTACTATATACGTCCATTCATAAAAGTTTGTGTGAAATTTTTGTATGAAGCATGCCATTTAATGCCTTTTATGTGTTTAATTTTATCGATGAATATTCCTTAAAATATATATTCATTGGAACTTAACTATTTATAGAGCTAGGTCAGTTTACTCGCAATACATAATCATAGTTCGCGCCTATACTGAAATATAATCGATTATGTATATTATATGTGAAATTTTAAAATAATTTTATGTTATCGTCGGCGGTGAGGTTATTTGTGTAAATAAATTTGAACATGCCATATCGTGTTGTTTTATTTTTGGCGTGTGCCAAGTTGGTCAATTTAATGATATTTTTATTTTGTTTTGTTGTGTGTTGTTACGTTAACAAATGCGACTATCACTCGAAGCGATAACAGAGACAGACTGTGTGCTACAGAGATAACGCTCTTAGCAGCAGAATTTTACCGATTGTCCAAAGTTCCGAAGGTATGCAATATTTATCGAGTACTATTAATAAATAAGGTCTTATGAGGACATGACTTCGTTCGGGATAAAATCCTGTGGTGAATTAATGAAATCATATAATTTACCGACCGATTCGATCTTACCGACCTAATAATAAGAAAATATGAAGTGGTGTTTTTCACAAAAGAAAGAACTTTAAAAAAAGGGGAAAAAATAACAAAATAACAAAACGACAAAAAATAAAAGATAAAGAAAGAAATTATCTGGAATCGAAAAAAAAGAGTGTAAATGATCGTGACACGAACCACGGCCGTCTGTTTTGAGGCCGCCCGATTACTGATTGAGCTATTATAACATTTTTAAGAAATTTACCGTCATAATCGAATGATATTTTTCATTCCCTGAAAACAGGGATAAAAGGACATTTTCTAAAAATGAAACGTAACAAGATCGAATTTTCGCCACCGAATCTACGCACATACTAAATTTCATGAAAATCGCTGGAGCCGTTTCCGAGATTCCGATATATATATATATATACAAGAATTGCTCGTTTAACGTATAAGAAGATATTCTGGCCCTGACGGGGTGAACAGAAAGCTGCAGTTGCACTTTGTCATCGATTTAACGGAGGTCCAAACATAAATGGTAAACCTGAAGTTCTTCTTTCCCTGTGGCTCGTCTTTAAAGAAGCCTGAGGGTATTTCTCACGCTCCGTGTTGCTTTTTTGAGAGCGTCAAAACTAGAATTTGGTCTATTTATACCGATGATGTTTTGATAAAGGTGGCTGGCGCAAGTCAATACCGGGCGGCGTTTAAAAATTGTTCCGCTTGACATTATTTGACATATTTATGTGATTGTGGTAGATGATATAGGACGTGTAACACGGAAAGAGTTTGCAGTAAAATATATAGAGTTGCATTCTAATTACACCAATTGGCGAAATTTGAGTGTCTCAGTTTCGCTGACTAGTGTCATCTACCACGTATATGTATATAATATCATTGATTTACACATTCGAACGTTAACCACCATGACAAAAAAAAAGTCATTACTTTTGGTGAAATAAATCTAAAAATAAAAAATAATCTAAGAATAGACTAAAGGAAAAACGTTTAAAAGTTATTCGACCACTGATATCGACCTATGATGGAAATTTCGAAACAGACGGGGAATGGTTGGTTAAATACAATTTAAGATAGGATCTTGCATGATATTTCTTGTAGTATTAAAAATAGGTCAGAGCAGTACTGGATAGCGCAATTTCTTTCGTTAAAAAGATTTTATCAGGTCGGTCACTTACTGAAAAGAGCTGCGGTCGTCGGAGACATGGCATTTACAGGCCATTACTCGAATTGAAACTCTGGGTGCCTTCTTACCCCCCTGGCCCTTGGAGGCAAATTAGTGTGACATCATTGCTGTAAATTCGAACTAACGACGCGTTTCGTCGGAATAAAATTGACAGACGATTCCATGGGCTGTTGTGCAAGGTTACTTTTGGAATTAGTAATTTAGTTATAGTCAGTACTAGCTGGCGCGGCAAACGTTGTTTTGCCATATAAATTATATGTAGGGTAGAAAAAAATGTTTGGGGTGGACCACCCTAAACATTTAGGGGGATGAAAATTAGATGTTGTCCGATTCACCACCCTGGCCAATATGCACACAAAATTTCACGAAACTCGGTCGAGCCGTTTTGGAGGAGTTCAATTACAAGCACCGTGACACGAGAATTTTATATATTAGAAGATGTAATCAGTAGTAGTTAGCAAAATTAGCTTGGTTATTGTTAGAAAAATTATACTGAGCTACTTTTATTACTGAAAAGCTTTTCGTAATCCATATCAATACTAATATTATAAATGTGAAAGTAACTCTGTCTATCTGTCTCGCTTTCCCTCCAAAACTATTGAGCCGATTTAAATGAAATTTGGTACACAAATAGCCTAGAGCCTGAGAAAGGACATAGGCTATTTATTAATTGGAAAAAAGTGTTGTAAAGGATTGAAAGATATTTATTTAAGGTCATCAACGCGAGCGAAGCCGCGCGCGAAAAGCTAGTCTTCTATAAATTTTATTGCTTGATCTTAAGTGCAGAAATTAGTACAATTGAAATTGAAATTCAAACATCCTTTTTTAATATCTCTTTAGCGGAATGTAGTTTTCTCTTCATATTTATTTCCGTTTACTAATTTTAGCCCAGCACTGTTAAATCTGCCTTATTAAACTCTGACGAAAGACGAAAAGTTCGTAACAGCAAAGAACCTCATTTAGCTTCAAAATCGAAGCGTGAATGGATTTGAAAAACTTTTAATTAGTGCCGCTTCGTCTCGCTTCAGTCAGAAAACAAACTTCGGTTAATTGACGCACCTATTAGCTTAGTGGATATAGATCTGTCTCTTGTGCCAAAGGGTATGGGTGCGATGCCCGATACTGGAAAAACATTGTGTGACGCTATGTTGTTTTTCAAATATATCCATAACATGTATTTATTTACAAGAAAAGTATGTTTAGTTTATTTATTTATTTATGCTTTATTGCAAAACCTTAAAAAAAAGGATTACAAAGGGCGGACTGAATGCCATTTGGGAATTCTCTCCCAGTCAACCCGGGGTTACTTTAGTAGTATGTCAAAGTCAAAGTCAAATATCTTTATTCAATATAGAAGCATACACTTACTTATTGATCGTCAAAAAACTCTACCACACCGGTTCGGAAGGAAAACCACTGACCTGAGAAGAACCGGCGTAAGAAACTCAGCGGGACATTTTTTTATTTTTTTTTAACAAAAAAATTTAAAATATATATATTTTTATACACCTAATATGACTAGACCTCAGTATCTGGTATAAATTTCAACTTGCTAGGTCCACCCGTTCCTGAGGAAATCGGCGGTGACACACGGACAAGAGAGTGATCTTAAAACGTTTCCTTTTTTTACCCTTTCAGGTATGCCGTCAAAAACAGAAAGAGAAATAATTATCTCACCGGCCTTCGCCTGGGCCGCCACGCGCCCGGCATCCTGCATCTGAATTTTGAGCAGCTCCATGGGCGTTGTGATCACGATCTGACAGGCGCCCGCACTACCGCCGGCGAGCATTTGACTCGTAATCGGGAGCGATCTAAAAAAAAAAGGTCGAATTGAAAACAGAAAATAAAAAAAAACAAAAAAATTACAAATAT